CTCCTTTGGTGTAGGTAGTGAAGAAATCAACTTGAGAAGTCACATGAAAAGAAGCACCGGAATCAATCACCTAATTGCTCTCTTGGCTCACAAAATTAATACAATGATCTTGACAAACGACCATAAGATCATCAGTAGTAACCGCTGTTGTGTCTTCTTACTTCTTATCCACACTTTTTTCACGTCTTTTCTCCTTGTTCTTGAGCTTTCGGCATTCTCGCTTCATGTGCCCTTTCTCATGGCAATAATGGCACTCAATGTTTTTCTTTGAAAAAGAACCACCTTTTGATTTGTCACGGCTTTGATCACGACCATGAGGAGTCTTACTCCTCCCCCTTGTTTTGCTTCGGCCTCTTACAACAAATACTTCCGAATGAGAGGAACCTGCTAATTTTCTTCTAGTTTCTTCATTCAACAAGCTACTAGTGACTTGGCTCATTGTGACAACTCCATCAGGCGCCAAATTACTAACGGTCACAACCAAGGTCTTCCAACATTCGGGCAAAGAACTAAGTAGCATCAAAGCCTGTAATTCATCATCAAAAATAATTTTTATAGAGGCAAGTTGGTTAACAATACTCTTTATTTCATTCAAATGTTCCAGAATAGGGCTGTCATCTTTATATTTTAAATTAACCAACTTACGAAATAGAAAGGCTTTATTTGTGGCTAATTTTCTATCATAAAGACTCTCTAATTTTTTCCATAAGTCATGTGCCGAAGTTTCAGTAGCAACATGATAAAACACACTGTCATCAATCCATTGACAAATAACACCAACGGCTTTTCGATTAAGCCTATTCCATTCATCATCTTTCATATCATCAGGTTTGCCACTAGCATCCTCAATGGATCCATACAAATCTTTACAAAATAATAGGTCCTCCATTTTAGTTTTTCAGGTTACCCAATTACTTCCATTGAAACGAGACATACGACTCACATTCCCCTCTATTGATTTACACAAATAAATAAACCCAAATAAATTGTAAGTTCTGATACCAGTTGTTAGGGAAAATATGTGATTCCCCACAAGTAATCAATCAATGGGAATAAAAACTAATGCGGAAAAATTAAATCAAAAGCAACACAAGAATTTTTACGTGGTTCCCTCAATGTGAGGTACGTCCACGGGATCAAAATTCGATTCCACTATCAACCAAATAGTTTCCAAACGATTACAAACGAGACACGAATGGTCTCACAAAACCACCCTTAGGTGAATTCCAAATAATCACAAATAAACAAGAAGAAAGACCTCACCAAATAGATGAACAAAAATCTTCAGGATTGAAGAAGACCTAAAATAATAATCCAAATTAGCTTCCAAGCACCAGCCGAAAGCATACAAATAATGCTTTAAAAGCAATCAAACCTTGAACCAAGTGAAACTTCCAAGCATGAGGATCTTTTTTGCTGCTGCCGTAGTGTACATCACACGGAAGAACATAAACAATATTTTTATATTGTTAATTCTAAGGTTTGTTTTATCAAAATCCTAGCTATAATCAAATTGGATTGGATCTCCATAAATTAGATATAATATATTAAAATATGTTATATCTAAACCAAATTAAACTCTTTAATCAAAACTAATTGGGTTCCAAACTCCACTAAGAAGGTATACCCAACAAAACAGAATTTGACTTATTTTTGTCCTTCAGTGAGGTGAATTGTTTTTTAGGAAGTTCACTAGAAATGAAATAAACCAAAAAAAAAAAATGGATCTTTTGATGTCACTAAAAAAATTGAAATTTGGCAGCTGCGAGGTTGAGGGTAGCTGCTAATGAGAAAGCAGAAGCGGAGAAAATTGTACAAATCAAGCGAGCAGAGGGCGATGCCGAGTCAAAGTATCTGGCAGGATTGGGTATTGCTAGGCAGCGACAGGCAATTGTGGACGGTCTAAGAGAAAGCGTGCTTGGGTTCTCAGTGAATGTGCCGGGGACTACTGCTAAGGACGTCATGGACATGGTCCTAATCACACAGTACTTCGACACCATGAAGGAAATTGGTGCATCCTCCAAGTCCTCGGCCGTCTTCATCCCACATGGACCTGGAGCTGTTCGCGAAATAGCTGAGCAGATTAGGGATGGGCTGCTTCAGGCATCATCAGCTCAACAAGAAGCCACGCTTCTATAGGGTTTATCGTGTTTTGAAACAAATGTTGTGCAGAATAAGTTTGTTTTCCGGGATTAATTCTGGTGTTTGGTTTTCGGTTTGGTGTGATGGGGGAATTGCAATGTGTGTCCTGGAAACATCCTGAAGGAAACAAATTGTTTGTTTGTTTGTTTGTTTAAGAACTTGGGTTGTTACAATGTCGTACGAAGTATTTTGTTGCATCTTATCCTGGTTTAATCAAGTGGATTTGTATCTTATCCTGATTATAGGGCGATGTCCTATGATAAGACATTGCCTGAAATTTAACCGAGGGGAAGGCTTTGAAGGAGCTAAACTTGTTGAAACCAATGGCAACATATTTTAATGCTATGTAAACAATTTTTTTATTCAAAAATTTAAAACAGAATGTTGTCCTTCTGTAGACCTTTTATTTAAAGTTGAAAAAAACATAATTTTGATTTATAAATGCAAATATCTTGAAGTTCTGCTTGTGAAACATTTTCTTATTTGTGAACTCCATTTACATATCCTACTAAAATCAATACCATATAAATCATGCATTCCATATAAATCAGCCCTACAAGAAAAAATAGTCGTGCATAAATCAACCAAAGTGATTCACAAATAGTTTTTTTTATTTTTTTATTTTTTTATTTTTGGTAGATAAAAGCCCATCCGAAATAGAATAATACTATATGCACTAATTAGTGTAACAACTAATGTACTAATTAATGATGTGATATAATTTAAAATATTTTTGATATTTGTATAATGAGTGAGATTCATAATAATGACATAACTAGTGTTAGTACACTAATTGGTGCATGTAATACCACCGTCCAAAATAATATGGCAACCGCATCACTAAATTTATGAACCAGATTCTGGACAATTTGGATTTGATTGAAAGAGCAACAAACCACCACCGAAAACAGTTGTTCAGACCTGCTCAACGAATGTATACTCGTACAATTCATTTTTGTTTATAAATTTAGTGTGAAGAGAATTTTCCCAAACCACCACCTCATTATTAGTATAAAAGTTCTAAAAAAAAATTCTAGTAACAAAAATTATTCCACCCATAAAAAATGTTGTCCATAGTATAGCCTCAGGGCCCTACAGCAACATGTACGCTTCATATTCATCTGATGCTCAATAAACAATGATCAATCAAGTATACAACCAGCTGAACATGCGCAGAAGCAAATATATATATATATATATATAGCAAGTTATTCAAATTGAAATACTCATCGTGCTTTAGAAGTACAGCCAATCAAACAATTGTAAACGTTGGCAGCTACCAGAAAAACCTGGTTAGATACAACACCCTGAACCAGATGAAACAATTTTCCTTCTAAAAAGCACACCATCCAATTGAAAAAAAATCGCAAGTCTTACTCATAAAGCTCTGCAAATATCAGGTACTACCCAGTTTAGCCAAGGGAATGTAAGAACTAAGTATTGAAACAAATTTATATAAACCCTCTAGAATTATTTTTACAATCCAAAAACCATCAAAAAGATGAGAATCAACCGATAAAGGAACAGACGTTTAAACAGTCAACTACGCTACTTCCTTGTGCTCAACTCATTGCTCCCCACCTAAGGTTTGAGAGCCAACGCCAGCCCAAACTTGGCCCCCTTGTCAATAGACTTGGCGTCTACTTCTCCAGAAATGGTGAAAAGTGACTTTGGCCTCCATTCATGCTGGATGAGTGCACTTGCCTTCCCGGTGTTGTTAACCCGAGCCTTAACCGTGGTCAATGGATCCAATGAATGCTGGGTGCCAATGGTGATGGTGTTCACACTGGATGAGAAGCTGTGTATTACCTCTGCCCCAACAGCTGTCTTGGTCAAGGGGTTCACTGTATGGTAGTATGATGCATTGAGAGAGTCACCCTTGTCATTCCTGAATCAACACAAGCTCACCACATTATGCGCCGAAGAAACATAACACACCAGCCACGCAAGCAATACAGCTATGAATTAATAAGCTTCAGAACTAAACTTCTCTAAATCTTGCAATTATCCAATGACCAAATTTAGTGTACTCATATCATTTGTGAAGAAATGCTCAAGATAAGGGCAGGAACCAGAAATTTCCCATCAAATGTTCAACATGAACCACAAACAGTATACATGTGCATGCAAGGGGAAGAACAGCTTAGTTTTATAAACCATGAAGATAAGTACTATCAAATGCCTAGTCACAAAAATGAGGATAAGAAGGTACCACTAAAAAAAAGGTGAAAAAATGAAAATAATTATCTTGCACAAGAAACAACTCACAGGGTCAAGGACGCGATAAGGTCTGAGTTGGTGAAGCTCAATCCAGCATTGCATTTGGTGAAGTCCCCTGTCTTGGAGTCAAAGGAGACATCAGTCCCAAGTGCAACAACATTAGTCCCTACAACACCTGAGAAGTTGATAATAGGGATTGCTGTCAACCCAATGGTTGTGCTTATCCCCGCATAGTCATGCAAGTATTGAACTTCCAACTGTCACAAATCACTGACAGATCAGTAATCATCCAGCAATACCTCGAACTTAGGTATAATAAAAATTAAATTGACATAATAGCTCAAACTGATGTACAATATCAAAAGACCAAATTCCCTCAAATGCATTACATGAAAAAAGAAAAGCGATCCCGACCAGACCACCATACCATAGTACAAAAAGTTTTCACTACAGAAATCAAGCAATGATTGATTACCTTGCCAGACCTTTGATCAGGAATCTTGAAGCTAAAGATCGTCTTCAATCCAGGAGCAGGCTCATCAACAGTAATAGTAGTACAAAGCTATTACATAAGCAAAACATCAGTTAGATGATCAAATCAAACCATTATCTGGAGGGTGAGAGAAACTGAATGTGGTTCTCAGAAATGTTCCAAATGCACTATAGCCTAAGGCATGAGAGATTTTCATAGCATTGACTGTGCATAATATACAATTCAATCTCTATTTTGTAACCACCTAATGCTTAAGCCTAGCTGCATGTGCAAACACAAGATAATACAGAGATCTATAGTTATCAATGCAATCATCTTTTACTTCTATGACTTCAAAGGCAGAGTTAAAGAAACCCACATATATACGAGTTCGTAGAACACATCAACATATTAACACATGGAAAGAGCAAAATAGTTTCAAATTTCAATAGACATATTGAGGTAATCAACAACTAGAATTCATAGTGCAAAATGCTCATGGGCCCTAAGCCTTGTGTACCCATGGGTGAGTGAGTAAAAACTGGAGATCAACTATCAGAATTTGGTTTCACAAATCAGATAATGCATTCATTTAATTTAATTCGTAAGTTTTGGATGATAATTGAAGTGTAAGAGATTGAATACAAGATTTTTTTTTTTGTAATTGAACAGAAAAGTAACTCACATTGGAGCTAAAAAATTGAACAGAAAAATATAAGACGGAACTCACATTGGAGTTTGTGTCCACTTTGATATCAGTTGTGATGTTCTTGTTTTTCAACTGAGTATTGACATCAGCAATAAATATGTCGCCTTTCTTCGTTCCAGATGAAGTAATAACCTGAAATGAGGGGGACAAAAATTAACATTCTTATACTAACATTAAATTATGGCACACATTGCTTAAGTCAGACGGAAGTAATAAATAGCATGTCGAAGCCCTAGGGAATGTATCAACTAAGATGAGAAAATACAAGCCAATATTGATCCAGTTAAAAAACTGATGAACAAATTAAAAATTGTGCCAAACCGACATTAACATATAGAATCCTAGTCAGAAAATTTCAAACAAGGGGGTAGATGAAGCAATTACCTAGCAAAAATAGAAGAACATACAAGAACTTGCAAACAGCTAAATAGCTAATGATTAAGATAACATTTGGTTGTCTTAAAAATGTGTATCGATCCATTTTAGACTTTGCTCATCTACATATTAAATAATTAGTTATGATTGTTTGGTTGTAGAAATGAAACAACTGAGAAATCTAACTACAATCTTCAAGAAAATTTATATTTTCTTAATTCTTTTAGAACAAAAGATCCCACAATCTAAAATTAGGAGATTCAAAATCTATATAGTTCTACAACTGAACAAGTTTTGAATTAACTCATTTATGAACTTGCAAAACATCTAAAATTAAGAGACTTCAAATCTATTTTGTTCAAAACTCAGACAAATTTTGAATTACTCATATATGAACTTGCAGATTGTCTAGAATTGGAAGATTCAAAATTTATTATGCTCAAAACCTAAACAAATTTAGAAGCAACTCAGCTATGAACTTGTAGATTTTGAATGTTTTAGTTAAAAATAAAATAATTCATGTTGCACAACCAAACAGGCTCTAAGTTGAACAATTCCTGTCATTCAGCATCTTAGCAAAAGTAAAAAAAGCATAGTCATCGATTTATTTAAACCCTAAAATGTATTGAAAAGCCGTAAACTAATAGCTCTTTCCAAATTCAATCAATGAACCAAACTGAAAGAAATCCAGTAACATAGACAATAAGATAAGCAAAACCACTAACAAAATGCACAAGCAATGATGCTACCAATTCCCATTGTCAATTGTCAATTATACAAGTTTAAGAGAACTGTTCAAGATCATGAAACATATGGTAAAAAGGTACATTGGCTAAGCATCAATGCATAATATTAGTTCAAAAATCGCCCACGATGCCAACTATATAAGATGATGATACTAATAGACACCACTTAAAACCCATCAAAATTCATGGTCTCACTTTTTCTTTTTCTTTATAAAAAAAGTCAATTACAAAAAAGCAAAAGCACCAAAATCACAATAAAAATGAAAAAGGTTCACCCCATTCAATAATGCACTTGGCTTCATTGAGACAAGTAGCATCAGATGCTCATACATACATATAAATATACAAATACAAATCTATACAGCATAAACTGAAAATAACAGCATACATACACACGAATAATATAATCACATAAAAAGAGATAGAAACACTAGCTTCATGAAGTGAGTAAAAAGATCTGAGAAAGGAAAATGAGCAAAAAAACTCACAACTCCAGTTGGAGAATAGGTTGTGACAGTGAACTTGTGGTCGCTCTGGTAGTCCTTGTAGAGAAGATCTAG